TGCACAGGGCTGACTGCACAGGTCTAACTGCACAGGGTTAATGCACAGGGCTGACTGCACAGGGCTGACTGCACAGGGCTAACTGCACAGGGTTAATGCACAGGGCTGACTGCACTGGGCTAACTGCACAGGGCTGACTGCACAGGGCTGACTGCACTGGGCTTACTGCACAGGGCTGACTGCACAGGGCTAACTGCACAGGGCTGACTGCATACGGCTGACTGCACAGGGCTAACTGCACAGGGCTAACTGCACAGGGCTGACTGCACACGGCTGACTGCACAGGGCTAACTGCACAGGGCTAACTGCACAGGGCTGACTGCATATGGCTGACTGCACAGGGCTAACTGCACAGGGCTGACTGCACAATAATGAAGGTAGGAAGTACAGCATAGGCTGGTAGACATACAAAGCAAAATTGGTTAGAAGTTACATCAAAGAATATTTATTCAGTTATGACAGTACAACATATGTTTGTTTTCTAAGCATTTGTTTTTACATATTTGTTAGTCTTGTTTTAAGTCATTGACAGTGATTAACTGTCTCCACATACTGCTGTTGGAGGCTGAGCTAGGTGTAAGTTCAGTTAGGCCAGACAACATTGCCATCCCATTGAATAAAACTTCTACTAAAAGATGATTTACCTTGAAACATTTTATTGAATAAAGTGGAGATACACAGCTGAATTGGCAGTTTTTTCCGTGGAAATCCTGAAATAACATCATATATTTTTTTTCTGGCTTTAATGTGACAAACAAATAATTATCAGGACAATTATTTTTAATTAAAAAGGATTCAACACTGTGGGTGCTTAAGTGTGCACATCTTCCTCAACTACTACTTTGGAGAAGCATCTTTTGTTTTTTTCTTACAACAGTAAATCTTAGTGAATAAGTCTCACTTTGCACACCAGGCCTTTGCGATTTTATCCTACTCTTCTCTGAAAAAGTTTAAGTTCCTTCAGATTGACAGGGGATCTCCTGTGCAAAGCCCTCTTTAGGTCATTTCAGGTTTTCTATGAGATCGGGATTGTGGTCTGGGCTCTGACTGGACCATTTCAAGACTTTGATCTTCCTTTTCTGAAGCCGTTCCTTGGTAGACTAGGATGTGTGCTTAGGGTCTTTAACATTTTGGAAGGTGAAATTCATCGTCAGCTTTCTGACAGAAGCCAGCAGGATTTTGCCAGAAAATCTTGATTTTAGGATTTTTTTTTTTTTGGATTTGGATTGATTATTCCATCTATCTAGACCCCCTGTCCCATTTGAAAAAATAAGCCCTACAAGCATTATGCTACCACCACTATGCGGCACAGTAGGCATGGTGTTCTTTGGGTGATCAGCTTTATCTTTGTGGAAAACATCTCTTAGGATCAAAGCCAAAATTTGTAATCATTGTCTGATCTGAGTAAGGTACAGTCACATGAAAAGAAAGTACTCCCTCTGTCACTTGTAAGGTTTCACGCATCGGGACATTCTAAAAAAATCATCTGGTCCTTAGCAGGTCTTAAACCTCAATGGTTAATTAGGTAAATAAAATATCAGATGAACAACAACACATGACAAATTACACTGTCATTATTTATTTAACAAAATCTAAGATAAAATGCAGAAGCAGTATGTGATAAATTAAGTACTGCATCCATAGGAATTAAGAGGGTAAATAACAGTCAAATTCTGCTAATCAAATGCACTTGACAGTTTGCTGGTCTGGAGCATTCAGGTGTGTGTTAACACAATGCCAAGGAGAAAAGACATCAGCAATTATCATAGAAAAGCAAGTGTTGCTGCCCAACAATCTGGGAATGGTTATAAGGCCATTTCCAAACAATTTGAAGTCCATCATTCTATACTGAGAAAGATTATTCACAAGCGGAAAACATTCAACACTGCTGCCAATCTTCCTAGGAGTGGATGTCAGCAAATTCACCCCAAGGTCAGACCATGCAATGCTCAGAGAAGCTGCAAAAAACCCAAGAGCTACATCTCAGCCTCTACAGGCCTCACTTAACTATTAAAGTGCATAACAGTACAATTATAAAAAGACTGAACAAGTGTAGCTTGTTTGGAAGGGTTGCCAGGAGAAAGCATCTTCTCTCTAAAAAGAACATGGCAGGCTTAGGTTTGCAAAGTCACATCTGAGCAAAGTGCAAAACCTCTAGAACAGACGGGACCAAAGTCTGTCTAGCACAGTGGTGGAGGGATGAGGATTTGGAGTCATGCAATGGACAATGATCTCAAGCGAACCAGCAAATCAACAACAGTATGGGTGAAAAAGAAAAAAGAATCATGGTGTTGCAATGGCCCAGTCAAAGTCCAGACCTCCACCTGACTGGGGTCTGTGGTGGGACCTTCAGAGAGCTGTGCGTAAACGAATGGCCTCAAACCTCAGTGAACTGAAGCTATGCTGTAAAGATGAGCAGGAAAAAATTCCTGCACAATGGCATGAGAGACTGATAAAGTCATACAGAAAATGATTACTTCCAGTTATTGCTGCTAAAGCTATTGAATCATGGGGTGTAATTCTTGGCTTCATTTTTGTTAAATAAATAATAACATGGTGGAATGTGTTGTGTGTTTTACACCTGAGGTTAGATGTAAATAATTGTTGAACCCGGTAAGGACCAAATTATTTTTTTATTACTATTGTTTTTAAATTATGTCCTGATACTTAAAACCACAGAACAGAAATAGGGTGTATATTCTTTTTCACATGGCTCAATTTTTTCCACATCCTTTGGAGTGAATATATTTTTTGACCGTCTGACATGTTTTATCTAGACTTCTGGTTTTACATTACAATAGAGCTTAGATCGGGCCCAAAAAATTAAACCTGATCCTACCCGAGCCCGTGCACCTTGTGTCCGAGCCCGACCCGGTCCGACACATTAACTGTAATTATGAGCCCGAGCCCGATTTAAACCCGACTATTTTTTAATACGTGAGCCGCTGTACGAGATGTTCTCAACTACAATTCTAAGTTGTTTGAACTACAGAAATTAGTTTAGATTTATCTTAATGAAAAATG